AAAAAAAGTAGAATTCAAAGGTGTGATTAAAAATCATAAAACTGTAGGAAAAGTGAAAATATTATAAGTCGACTGACCCCTGAGTTGTACTTAATATTCTTGCAATAAAAGGCCAAGCTTCAACTGGCCTACATATTGTGTGGAGACTCATCTAGACAGGTAAATAATCTAATGGTGAATGCACTGAAAATTTCATTATGAAATTTAAAAACCCATCTTATTTTATACATGGTTGTCTTCACATTTTTTCTATTGTAACTATTTTTACCTAAAAGGAAAGTAAGTTTGTGGGTAATAAATGAAACAATTCACTTAGCAAAGTCCCTGGTACCCAGTACAGTACATTTGGTGGTTAATATTATTATTTATATCAGTCATTCTTGAAGTGTGGTCCTCAAAATAGAGGCATCAACATCACCCGTAACTTACTCGAAATGCAAATTTGAGGCTCCACCCAAACCACACCAAGGCTCAGCAATCTGTTTTCACAAGTCCTCCATACGATTTTGATCCATGTTAAAGTTTGAGATCCAACCATGTACATTCATATATGTACAAAATAAGCTTCTATAATTACACAGATCTTTAATAGCCATAAATATTCATAGCAATATGTATATGGGTATATATAAATATATATCATTTATATAGATGTATATGCATACATATATGAGATATGTCTGATCATATATGTGATATATATGTAAGATACATAATACATATTATGTAATATATACCATATATACATCATATTTATATACATGCACTATATACACACATGCACACACACATATAGTCTTGTATATAGCTATTTCCCCTAAGTTTTCTGGGATATCTGATCTTAAATCATTTAACTGAGGAGTTATAATGATAAGTCTATGGTGAATATATACTATGAAACCTAGCTCTTTTATACACAATGGGATACCACATGAAAATACAATCAGTTGATTGCTTTGTATACTATAAGGAGGAAAATCTAGTTGTATTGATCTTATTTTCATTTTTTGAGACTAAA